TTTTAATTTTTTTTTCAATGTATCTAGAGTGTATTTGTTGGTATCCACTCATTGTCTCTTTAAAGGTTGGCTTTTGATACAATTTCTTGTGATGTTCCTATTCTTCTTTTTGAGCACTCTGCTGTGAGGGGTAGGGAGGGGAAATAATATGATTAAGATAAGCCGATACAGCTTCTATTGGTTTACTAAAGCTCTTGCTTTTGAAAGTATCGTTCAGCTTTATTAATTGAGTCCTCTGAATTTATCCTTTAATGGTTGGCAACATATAAGGAAGAGTCATTGATAGTGTTTTTTGAATTTATCTGTCTTCTTTGCATCAACTGAACTTTGCTGTGCACATTATAAATTATCCCTTTATTCATATTAACGCCCAATACATTTACGAAAACGTGTTTTGCTTATTTCAGCCAATTTTTATATACGCTTATCTAATGATATGCATTCATGCGTAATTTATTTTGGATACTGTAAAACTCACATCGTTCATATATTCTGTGGACGCTATGCGTATTATCAGAGATGTAACAATCCAAAATGGGTATGTATCCTCAAATATACTCATTAAACATGCGAACCTGGTATCATTTATTACTAAAAGAATTTGTGCTCAAGACACGTCTAAGAAGCAGAATTTGGACAAGCTTATGGTAGCTTTGCTTTGTCTTCCAGTCGTGGTGTTGGTGGAGTTTTTCCCATATTACAATGTTTTTCCCATACTTTATATATTCTAAAATTGGTTTACGATCGAAGGTTTTGCTAGCGGTTTGATAATCCTAGCTAAATTGCAGTTTTTTAGATTAGGGATTGACTTTAAACCTTAGTTTGTGTTCTGCTGTTATTGCTATTACCGTTATTCCTCTTAGTCTTTGAGGATATGCCATTGATGAGTGCTTTTCTTACACTTTTCACCTGGATAATGGTGATTATTGTGCTCGTTTCGTTCCTTCTGTGGACTATAGGTATGTACTTTCGGAAAAAACAAGGCTCGTTTTTGTACTTTCCAAGTGAACCCCCTAATAGCCGTAATATGTGTGCATCGCCTGCTGATGCAGGAATTCTAAATTTCGAGTGTGTCTCCATTTCCACATTAGACGGCCAAGTATTGAAGGGGTATCTTATGTGGCCTTACCCACCATCCTCCGCGTTTTCCACTGGAAACGGAAAAGTTTCGGATGCGCTGTCCACTAAAACTTTCGAGTGCGGGGCGACGCCGCCGTTAGCGCATGACTCATCGAACTCCCCGAACGAGATGCCACCCTTCGTGCTGCTTTTCTTCCATGGGAACTCTGGAAATGTTGGGCATCGGCTCGCCGCCGCTAAGTTGTTCTTAGCCACCCTCAAGTGTGCGGTGTTGATGGTGGATTACAGGGGCTATGGGTTGAGTTCCTCCGCCGCGGTAACGCAGGAGGGCCTGGAGATCGACGCGCAGGCGTGTTTGGATTTTATCAAACACGACGAGCGACTGCCGCAGGAGAGCGTTTACGTCATGGGCACCAGCTTAGGCGCCGCGGTGGCGCTTCATCTGGCCGCGAAGCCGCGAAATGCGCGTAGTATTTCTGGTGTGATTGTAGAAAACACTTTTACCTCTATTAGTGACATGGTTGTCATTTTAGCAAACTCTGTGATACATCTACTCCGCGTGCCATGCCCTCGCTTCGCCTTGCTCTGCTTTTCCTACTACGTGCTTCCCCTGACGCTTCACTTGAAATGGGAAAATATAGGTATCCTTCACAAAATCTCGGCTCCAATGCTGTTTCTCTCCGGCCTCAAAGACGAGCTCGTACCGCCGGAGCAGATGAGGCTGTTATATCAGGCTGCCTGTGCGAAAAACCATAAGGGCAACCCCCTCCGTCGCTTAGTAACCTTTCGAGAAGGAAGTCATAATGACATGCTTCTGTGTGATGGGTATTTTCAGGCGATTTCAGACTTCGTTAACGATGTAGAGAAAAGTAAAATCTCTGATTTCATTTAATAATAATGAAATACTAAGGCGAGGAGAAGACCACTTCATACATTCTCACAGCAGAGGACGGTCTGCATGTTGATGTAGTAGTAGGTATCTAATTTTTTAACAGGAATTTTGCTCCCCTTATAGGCCCTTTTATTGTGTTGTAAGGGGTTTTCAGATCAATTTTATTTCTTTTTAGGGAATCAGCTTGATTAACTCTTATTCGTATTATTTTATGAAGAAAGATGGTTAATATCATCAAGCAACTTTCCCATTTACACATTTCTGGTGATTACAGAGCATGAAATGTTAATTTGGAAAGCATCAAATCGAATTCCCACTGGAACGACAAATCTTACCTTTTTTTCCATGGTGAAACCATTTCATCCTTCAAAAACCTTATTATTTCATTATTCATTTCGTCTCCCTTTACCTCGTATAGCGAAGAAAAAAAAAGTGTTGAGTGAGTACTCACGGACAAAGGGTAAGATCAGAAGAAAAGGAGTGTAGGGCGTATCTGCTAGATTGAGCGGGGGCGATGACCACCTCTGAGAATGAGTGGGAGAGCATCAAGGGTGTCAAGCTTAGCAAGCCGACGCTGAGCTTGATGAATGACTGCCTTGGTTTCCGCACGATGGCGCCTGTTCAGGCCCGCGTCGTTCCCCTTCTTCTCACCAACTACGACGTCGTGGTCGAGGCGGTGACCGGGAGTGGGAAGACCTTAGCCTATTTGATCCCCTGCCTCGAGATGCTGCTGCGGCCGGCCGGCCAGGAGGCCTGCCGTGCGCGCAAGAATGCGATTATTGCGATGGTCGTTCTCCCCTCCCGCGAGCTCGCGCAGCAGGTCTTCCAGATCGTGAAGAAGATGCTGCACTACGTCACGAAGGAGTATCGCACCGGGAAGGAAAAGCCCCTTCCGAGTTACTCCTACTTGTGTTACATCGGCGGCCGAGATATCAAACTCGACGTAGAGGATTTTGAAAAGCATGGGGGGAATGTCATCGTGGGAACGCCGGGGCGGCTGTTCGAGCTCTTCATCTCGTCGAAGTATTCCGGCTTATTTGACTGCAGTGCCTTTGAGCTGCTCATTCTGGATGAGGCGGATAAGCTTCTGGAGTTTGGTTTTAAGGCGAAGCTGGATGCCTTGATCAAGCGCCTGCCCAAACAACGACGGACGGGTATGTTTAGCGCGACGCAAACCAAAGAGCTCACGGAGATCGCGCGGGTAGGGATGCGCAACCCGGTTTCCGTTACGGTCCGCGTCCACTCCATGAGCACCACCGTGGCGGATGAAACGAAGCCGCAGATTCCGGATCGCCTCATCAACTACTACACCTTCACGAAGGCTTCCGAGAAGTTAGATCGCTTGCTCGAATTTCTTCGCGCGCACCTCAGCGAGAAGGTGATTGTGTACACGATGACTTGTGCAGGGGTGGATTGGCTTTACGAGGCCCTCAGCACCGTTCTTCTCGCGGACGAGGCCGATCACATCTTCCCGTTGCACGGCCAAATGAAGCTGGAAAAGCGGCAAAAGGTGCAACGCGCCGTTACGAAATCCTCGCGTTGTATTCTCGTCGTTACGGACGTCGCCGCGCGCGGGTTGGATATTCCGGAGGTTGGGGTGGTTGTGCAGTTCGATCCGCCGGTGGATCCGAATACGTTTATCCATCGCATCGGCCGCACCGCGCGGATGGGAAGGCGGGGAACGAGCCTCGTGCTTCTCATGCCGCACGAGCTCGAGTACGTCACCTTCATGGGGCTCCAAAATGTGCGTCTCCTCCCGTTGGATGAAACGCGAGATAGCATGGAGGCCGGGCAGGATCAGCTCGACCAGCTCAACGCGCGACGGACCTTGTTTAGTTCGCAGCCGGTGGATAAACGGAAGTCGATTCATCAATCCCATCGCCTGAAACAGCTCACCCGGCGCGAGCGTCGGGCGAAGCTCCATGCGGATCATCTGAACGCAGCCGCCGGCGCCGAGAGGGCGCGTGTGGATCGGAAGGAGGTGCTCGGCGATTTATGCGAGAGTCCGTCGGTGTTAGCGCTTCGCCGGGCGGCGTGTGGGAACGAGAAGCTGCTGAATTTAGCCACCCGGGCGTTTGTTTCGTTTATCCGAGCCTACAAGGAGCATGAGTGCCGCCACATCTTTCGCCTGCAGCTGATCGATCTCACGGACCTCACACACGGGTTCGGCATTTTCAAGGTGCCGAACTGCGGGGAGATCAAGCGGATGCGGATTTTGAAGATTCCACTCCAACCCGAGTTCAACGACTTCGTCCGGGTGTTATCCGAGAAGGTCCAGGAGAAGCGTCAACGGGAGATGGAGCAACGGGCGCAGCGGGGTTCGAAAAATGGCGCCGAGGAGGATCCCGACGCCCCCGGGTTGAAGCACCACAAGGTGGAGCGTAATGAGAGGCTGGAGGCGTTAAAAAAGGTGAAAATGACGCAATCGGAGCGGAGCCGTGCGTGGCGGCAGGCGGAGATCGACGAACTCCTGAAGGATAGCTATTACGTGAAGAAGGAGCGTCAGGGGCGGATTAAGGCGCGCGTGGTAGACGAGAAGATGGGGGTGAATGCGATCGAAAATGCCTTGTTGAGCTCGCGTGAGCGGCAAGAGGCCGGGAAGGTTCGTCGCCACGGCTGAGGGCCTCACTTTTCTAATGTCAATGGGGGAAAAGGAAGGTGCGTCGTGAGTTCCCCACCACGACCGGAGGCATCTACTTTCTTTTCTTTTTTTCTTTGCCTTGAAAAAAAAGAAAGATTTTAATAAAAATTATGATGCTAATCGTGTAACAGTTTTCGTTTAAATTTGTGTTTCCCCTTGTGGAAGTCTCTCCCGTGTTGTGGGGAAGTTACCTCTTAAATACCCCATGTTTCAAGTACCATACGGCATCTAGCACGCCATCCACGGGAAACTACAACGAGTTTAACTTGGATGTTCTTCGCTTTATTATTATTGAGCTATGCTTGTTGGTTCCTATTGGAGAGACAATTTCATTCATGCTTTCCTCATCCCTTTTTCGATACCTTTTCCCCATGTTGGGTAGTTCGATTTGATGTTCAAAGACTACTATCACATACTAGGTGTACCTCCTCATGCTTCCGCAGAGGCCATTAGGAGCGCCTTTAAGCAACTTGCCCTTCAATGCCATCCTGACAAGGTTTCGCAGAGCACTTCCGTAGGGTGCTCTAATGGGATAGCATCGGGCGCCAGAAGTCTACTTGATTACGTAGCCTTGCCAAAATTCACAGATGTTCAGGAGGCGTATGAGGTGCTCGGCGACGTCGCTCGGCGCTACCTATACGATCTCAATTATACAGATTTACTTAACCAGCAACGCGCTTTGCAGGAGCAGTTTATCCGTGAACAGCAAAGAGAAAGGAGTCTCGCAGCGGAACGTGAGCGAGCAGCACAAGCGTTGCGTGAGAAGTCAGTCGTGGACGTGCCCGCGCAGAAATATCCAACTGCGACGCCTGTAGAGATCGTCAACGATAGCGGCGCTAAATTAGGTTCGAGCGAGGGGTATGAGGAGTCTCCCACCGAGTCCACTCCCCCAAGCAATGAAACCCCGGAGGTGTCTGCTTTCCACCAAAAACCTTCACCGAGCGGAAAACAGACCAATGACGGCATCCCCAGCAGAGAACCCTTAAAGCAAGCGAACAAACCACTTCCCACGACTTCACTCCACCGGAAAGTTGGAAAATCCTCCCAACGTTCAACCAAAAGCGGGCAAAGCCCCTCATTAACCCCGTTTTCGTCCTCTTCTGCGCAGCCGTCGTGTAAATTGTCGTCGAGTAGTGATGAAAATACGTCTGTGGAGGAGGTAATCTCGGGTCTGCGTGGGACCTCCTTAGGCGTACCGTCCACTACTCCTCTTCCTTCTTTGGCGGCTGCAAGAAATCGTAATCCCTCACGAAATCCAGCTACCAAGGCGTCGGGCAAATCCAATGCGAGCTTTCAAACCCCCGACCACTCTCGGGTCATCCAAAGGACGATTGAGGTCTTTTTCTTGGAAAGAGGAGTGCAGCATTAAGGTACAGCGAACTCACCGGGAATGGTGCAAATTTCATCCGTGTTGAAACATAATCACCAGAGTGCTTGTGTAGGACAAAAAAGTGATATAGGTATAAATTTGCATTGGATGTCTTTTCTCTTCCCTTCAAGGAGTGTCTACTTTTATTTTCGAACTAGTAATGCTATCTTTGAGTTCAGAGATGCAAAGATCTCTTATGCGATATGTAAAATGTAATATAATTAGAACTGGTAGCTAATGTCTCTTCTCAATGCGTAGCTTGTGTCCGCGAGACTGTTTTACGCACCTTCTTTTATTTATCCTCTGTAGTGGGGCTAATATTTGCATTGCTAAATTATCGTTAACTAATTGATTTTCACCCCTCATGTATTTCTTCATTTTGTGAAGATTGCGTATCCATGGGGTGGACAATGTGTAATAATTTAACGCTCATTAGTATTATGGGCACTTGTAAAGTAGATATATAATAATGTAAAAGATTTGGAACGACTTCAGCCGAATCTCCAGTTATTTATGCAAGGATAAATAAAGGCATTTTGGGGTTAGGGTGGTACACGCTTTTATTACGTATCCTTTCTTCTCAATATCCTCTACGAGGGATGATTGATGAGAAAAGTCTATTGGCACTGTCACTTTGTAAGTGTAGACTCTGGGTTTTGCAATACAATGTTCGCGGAAACTATTCCGGGAAAAAATCCAAATTAACAAGTGTCATGGATCACGGTACGCACATGCTAAATTGCGGCTATCGACCTCTTTTAATTGAAAGAGACACAATGTAACCCTTATTCGTTAATGGCTTTATACTCATTTCTCTCTACTTTTTTCACGGGTAACTGTGATACGAGCCAAAAGCATATTCCAGCAAAATTGGAATATTCAAACATGTTCTTTTACAGGACATAGCATTAGAAGTTTTATAACACATCATAAATCATGGATGAAGAGATCAGGTTTTTGAACAATTGCTTGAGCAGTGCGCGGCAGGTTCACACGCTTGTTTCCGCTTCTTTTGCTGGTACGGAGGGAGGGGGTCACTCAATCCTTTTGGACGAACCGGTTCAAAATTATTTAAAGTATCTCTACTCTAAATATGCAAACCATACGGCGCTACAATCTAAGCTACATTCCGGGAGGTCTCTGTATTACTTACAGTGCTTAAGCGATCCGAATTCGAGGAAGGACTTCCTTCAGATTGCATCCAATCCGAGCTTTATCAATACCGATTAATTACCATTTATCTATCTTGTGTTCGCTTCCTCGTGCTCTTCCTGTTGATTGATGGAAATACTTTTTATCGATATTGTACGAGGGTAAACTTTCTGCCTGGAAACCTAAAGCGCGTGTTACTTCTGTCGTTTGAACAATATCTATCTACAAATGATGATTCTGTCACGTACTCATGGAAACCTATTTCTGCCTTTTTTTGTTCTCAAAGTATTGAAGAGATCACTCCGGCTTCCTGCTGCTGCTGAGCCAGGCGGCCTTCTCACCTTTGTTAAGTCTAATAACACAGAGTGTGTAAATTATTTATTCTTATCATTCCCACAAAAGTACCATAAACAGTGCGCCCAATAGAGAACTTGCCGTGCTTTTTCGCGTCGCTTAACCAATAACGGCTCTTCTGCTTGGTTGGCGTGAGGATTTCAGGATCGCTTTCCCGAAAATTCTTCCTTCAACTTCTTTCTGTGAAAGGGAGCTTCCGCACCTACGCCGCTCGCGTGTGTATTCACCCTGCGCTCGCGCATTTCGGCTTGGCTACGGGCACGAGAGGGGGGGAGGGAGGGAATATGATTGGTAGGGTAGATTCCATTAGCTACGATGGAAACCGCGTGCTAAAGGTGGTCCTTCGATTCCCGTCAAGGAGTGATCCCTCGGGGGGCTGCATAAAGGAGATTGAAACGTTAGAGCTGATCGGGCAGGGCTCTTTCGGGACCGTTTACCGCGCCACCTGCGAGGACTACCCGTATCTCGCGCTGAAGATCTCCACCGGGAAGTCGACGCGTCTTCGTCAGGAGCTTGAGGTGCTCAGCATCACTTGCACGAAAGGCAAGCTCCACCTCCCTCGTTTCGAGTTCGGCGCGCTCAACCAGGCGGAGGATTTGGTGGTGATCGGAATGGAGCTCTGCGTGCCGCGGACGTTGCACGAGTTGATCGTCTCCCAGCCCCTCACGCAGGAGTCGGAGATGCTTTTTCTCGCCTATCAAGCCGCCCTGGCGGTTTCCTTCGTGCACGAGGAGGGCTGCATCCATCGCGATGTGAAGCTGCAGAACTTCGTGTTTGATTTGGACGGCAATTTGAAGCTCATCGACTTTGGGTTGTCGACGAATCGGATGGATCCGCCGCCAGGGGATGTGGTGGCGGGCACCGTCGCCTTTATGGCCCCCGAGATGGCGCACAACGCGCTTTACAAGGAGAAACGCGTGAGCGTCGGCGCCGCCGGGGATGTGTGGTCGTTAGGCATCGTCTGGTTTTCGATTTTTACGAAACAAAACCCGTATCAATGGGCCACCGCGGCCCTCCGAGAAGGGTCCGAGGAAGGGTTGCGGCCCCTTCCCCTGAGTGGGGCCTCCACCCACGTCGGAGGAGGCGGCGGAGGAGGAGGGGGGGAGGGGGACCCCCCGCGGGAGCCCAATCACCCGCTTTTAGCCTGCGTCGCGGCCGGGGATTGGCGGTGGCCCCCCGATTGCGCCCTCCCGCCGGCGTTCAAGGCGCTCGTGGAAGGGGTACTGCGGCGGCCCCCGTCGGAGCGCCCGAGCCTCGCGCGGGTGTTAACGGACCCGATTTGGGGCCGTCGTCGACGCGCCCCGCCCGACGCGGTGCGGCGGTTTTTAGGCGTCGACGACGATTCGTTGATCTCCCACGACGCGGCCCATCTCGTCCGCGCGGTCGCGCAGCGCAGCGCCGGGGTCTCCGCGTCGTTGCGGACGAGCCGTGCGGGGAGCCCTCGCGACGGGGAGGCGGGGGAGGGGGAGGG